GAACGCTCAGGGTTTGTGACTTCAGACCTGTATCGATATACATTTTCTGACTGTGAAGGTTTACATGACTATTCTTAGTAAAAGAAGTAACAAGTGCAAATCAGTAGAATGTCCTACCTCTGTGATTTTCCTGGCCCATGCCTCACATGAAGTCATTGATATTTAGAACTCTTGAAAATCTATACCCACAAATGGGTACCTATTGTGGGCATGCAGCTTGAAATTGAAATCTGGGCAGGCTAATGTCTTCTACTCTGTGCTCTTTGAATTTTTTTTTATCAAGAGCATCTGTTAAATTTCATTTAAAAAGTATAAAATAAATAAAACTAGTTTACACAAAAAGTAAACAAAAAACGTCTGCTTTTGCAAATAACTGTCATATCTCAGTTTCAATGTGGAAGTGTGACTGATTTGTCTGTCGATTTGAGTGCAAATTATGTGAAAACGTTTTTTTTTTGTTTGTTTGTTTGTTTTTGCTAGGCTCTCTTGTGGAGTGGATATTAAAGCCGTATGGCATCTGTTGCACTCTTAAGGGCTGTGTTTTTAAGGAGATGAGGTGGACACACAGGAAGATGGATCCAAGTCTCCTGGTGCTCCTATAGTCAGAATTTGAAGGCACTCTGGATAAGAGAGACTTCCTAGTGCTTGATACTTCTCCTCACCTGCTATATTTCAAGGGTTACTGCTGTTTGGATGCCATGGTTTCACATTCATCTCCTCAGCAGACCCAGCCATGTGCTTTGTCCACTGCATCCCATGGCCTACAAAGCTCTTCCCTGACTCTCATTGGTCAGAAGGTCCCCATCCCAACTTCATAGCTTTCCCTCTAAGGCTTTTTCTGATGCCCAAAACACAGTTCTCCTTACTCTGTTCTGACTTTTCCTTTTCCTTGTCTCTACTCTCACCTCTGCATATTAGAGCTTCAGTATATTACTGATAAATCAGCAAATTACTTTCAAACAGGGAACTAACAGAAATAACATGATTTTCTAATCACTTGGGGCATTACTTAGTCATCTGATATCATGGATGTCCATCTAGGTGCTTAATGTTTGTGGATATGCTGATAAAGTAGCCAAAGTATTTTTTCTTTTCTGTAAGACAGAATTCAGATGCAATTAACATGGAAATTACATATACATAGGGGATCAGGGTAATAAAAAGTTAATTTCATATTTAAAGGTGCCAAGAAGAGCACATGGAGGCTTATGGTGTTAATTATTCAAATATAGGTTCAAGAGAGTTGGTTTATGATGCTATTCTCCTAAATAGCATAAACAAACACATAAAAAAACAAAACACCTTTGCACTTTCCTGCTTGTGTGGATATTGACCACTTTCCTGCTCACTCATCTATAAACTGAATCATTGAACATGTCATTGAGAAGGTAACTAAATTATTGTTGGCAGTTGCATGGGTTAGTTAAGGATCCGGTCAAATGCTATTAAATATAACTGCATTCATGGGCATTCTGGAGAACTAAACTTTAAGGTACTGAAAGGTGTTTAATAGAGGGGCAAATTTTATAGGTGATACCAAGATAGATTTTCCTATAAAATAAATCTCTCTGAAAATAACATTGTGATGTTTAGAAAGTTTGTATCAAGAGCCTTAAAAATAGTCATGTTCTTCATCCCTAAGGTCCAACTTATGAAATCTAACCCAAGGAAAGATCAGATGTGTGATGAAAGATTTAACAAGTATCATGCTGGTTACAGCTTAATTACACAGGAGAAAAGCAAATAACACAAAGATCTAATCTTAGATAAATGGTTAAACATATCTGTTGCAAATTCTATGTTAATATTAACAATCATGTATTTCTAAAGGCATATATAATTCCATAGGTATATTTATACAGTGCCACTTTGCCTAAGTTATCCAAACTTTATTAGTGTTTTGATATACCTCTTGTTGGTAGAATTACGTTTCTTGTTTTCTTTTTGTTAAATTTTTCTCTGTTTTCCTAATGACATACTAAATCATTTCTGATGACAGATTTATTTATTAATTAAAAATCATTTGTCAGTGTTCCTTCTTCCCAACCTTTTCTTTATACCAATACCTAATTGAAGGGCCAGCTATAAAAACTGTCATAAGATGATGGGCATGAAGGGTAAGCCAAGCCCCTTCCTCTGATGTGACTTTGATTTGTACAAATGTGAGATCAGTGTCTTGTCCAGCTAAGCAAAAAGTGAAATAAATGTGGGATTTCCCGAAGCCTTATGACTTGCCGAATTTAAACCCTAGTCCAAATATAGTTTCTCCTTTCAGAAATCATGAAGCTTCAAATGAAGGTTACGGTCAGTGTCAGCCTTTTAAAAGTAATAAGAGGAAAGCAGTCCACTTGGCTTCTTGCAGATTCTCTCCTCAGAGGAGGAATGAGTCAAGTGCAGACACAGACTGGCAAGTGGCCACAAAGGAGGGCACCAACTTTGCAAGATGTTTACAGTGTGCTAAAGCCAGAGGTGCTGCCACTGGCTATTACAGAGCCAGGGCTTTTCCAAGCATCACAATTCAAGGAGCTCTGCCGAGCATTGCAAGGGGGAAAAAAAGTGGTGGTGGGGGAGTCTGAAAGACCCAAATTAAAATCCAGTTTTAAAGATTGTATGTACATTTAAAATTGAAAATTAAAGGTGCTGAAAAAAGATTTGTATGTAACTGCATCCAGAGAGCTTGGAAGTTCTTAGTAGATTCCTAAGGACTTAGCTAGGATTCTGCTTTCCAATTACAAGAAACTTCAAGTAAGGCTTGCTTTGTGTTCATATATAAGAAATTTCACCTATCTGAATCTCTTTGCTGTCTCTAATATGGGAAGACTAATAGCACTTAACTCATAAGGCACCTGTGAGCAAGGAAAAAAATTAACACAGCATCTGAAATGTATTAAAGATTCTATAAATATGAATTAAAACAATTAATATATTCATACTATTAATGCACATTTTATGTCTCAAAAAATAAGTCTTTTAAAATTCAGTACACTTTTACTGAATTTTAGCTGTATCTGGAAGAAATACACCTACCCTTACAGCCTATACAAGCTTTAAGATCTTACAAAGCAATCTAATAGCTCATTAATTACAGCTGACAATCTGTTTTTAAGTGCATGAGGTTGAAGCACCTTAAAGTTCAACTCTGTCTAATGATGAACGGTAGTTCCTCCACCTTCCATCTTGCAGCACTTGTAATCTTGTGTGTGTGTGTGTGTGTGTGTGTGCGCGCGCGCACGTGCGCACAAGCACCCCTTATCCACCAAAGACCAGTTCCGAATCAAATGATATGAACCCAAACTGAACCAGGAGTTCCTCGAGAAAGTCAAGATCTGAATTTTTTTTTAGTTAATCTTGACCCTATGAATGCTTCTCATTTTGACTGAACAATCTGCATGAGGAGAAAATTTGTTTATGAATTCATCAGTTGGCATAAAGAAGTTTGGATTGCCATCTGCATATTTGCATATTTGTTTCTTGCTCTCTAGGACTTATTTTTTATTTTGGCCCTGCTCTCACTTGTTCCATCTTCAGACACACTGGGAAGCAATTGTGCTTACTGAATCACGAGGGAGATAACCCAAACAAACCTCAGTGAGGTACCACCACCCCCTGACAGAGCAATCTTGTGGTTCCAGGCGCCTGTTCCTCTAGTCTTGGATGATGTTGACTTCTTTTCCTTTCCTGGATGTGTTGTGATTTGAACATTTTAATAACCATGCATAAGAGCATAGATATTCCAAGAGAGCAACCTAAGTTATATGAATGAACGTTTTATATTGAATTGGTAAAGATATAATCAGATGTATATACTTTATATTGGCCTAAATGAAGTTATGATTATTTTGAATGAGGGAAACATGGCTTTAAAGTTTCTTCATGCATTTGCTTCCAATTTACCATGATACAATCTGCACTTACCTAGAGTATCTCTAATATGGCTTCCTTGTTAATATTAAATGATTTTACAAAGCTGGCACATGGCTTAGAAGTTGAGCTTTTTGTATGTTTGTAAAACTGACCAGTATCCTAATAAATACAAATAGAAATGAAACAATAATTTAAAATGTTTAAAAATCAGAATAGCCGAAAGAATATACAAATGATTGTAAAGGAAAATATCATTGGAAAAACAAATCACCCAGTGGGAAAAATAAAGAACACTTAGTTCAAAAAAGAAAGAAAAGGAAAAAGAAATTTTGAACAACTTTTTAAAGGAAAGCTGCCATCCCAAACTGACTATGTAAGTACAGTGATCTCAAAAAATAATGTTCATAGTTGATAAGCACAGCTATATTAATTATGTTATACAACCGAAGGATGTTACTGGTTTAATAAAAAGAAGTGCTTGTTTGTAGTGTGTCTGCATAATCTGAGCCTACCCTTCATCTTCTTGGTCACTTGTACACATCTGAAATTACATAGCCAATCAGTGAGGGCTTTACCATCCTAATACGGCTTTTTGTCAGAGTCATTAAGATCTTTTTTCTATTGCTCTTCCTCTTTGAACCTAAAATATATAGCGAAGAAAGCTTGTTTGTATTCTGTTTGGAAAGTGGATATTTAATTAGTGCCACCTCTGTAAACATACTATGTTTAAAGTGATTACATTTGTTACACATCACCTCCAACTCTACCTTTAGCAACCAAATCACTCTTCCTCATCAACTATCATTTATGTCTTATTAGCATTAAGAGGAAATGAAACTGAGTCACACCCATTTAATTTTGCCTCAGGGCTTTCAGGTTTATTTTTTATATGGAGAATGCTTGTTTCTTATATGGAACATTTTAAATGATTAATATTATACCATAAATTGTATAAAATATAACTTAATATTAATTTTCTATATGCATGACATGAACATATTTCAGCCATAATCCCTGGAAGAAACTGCATTTAAGCAAGTCCTGTGATTTTGTTTTTATATTGTTTGTTGAAATACATGCTCGCTAAGGCTTTGTCCCTCTCTTTTTATTCCTTTTCTCCTAAACATTCCTGGCAGGTACTAAGCACAAAACCATGCTAGAAGCCCGAAATGGAAGTGGGACTATCAAAGCCTTTCCTCGGGCAGGAGTGAAAGGCAAAGGACCTGTCAATAAGGGAAACACGGGACTCCAGAACAAAACGTTTCACTGTGAAATCTGTGATGTGCATGTCAACTCAGAAACACAACTTAAACAGGTAGGCAGCAACATGTTCAAGGAATGAAATCAAACAGGGGACACTTATTAACAACATGTGCATTCTGCTTTCCTGCCTTCTCATTTCTGTCTCTGTGCCATCCATCCATCCATCCATCCACCCATCCACCCACGTATCTTCTATTCATGCTCCTTAGTTATTTATGCTCATTTCTAGTTGCTGGAGGGAATGCTAAAATGCAGTGGCTTCTAGGAGCTTTTGGAAATTGTTGGCAGTGGGTTTGTACTATTCCTGCATGTGAACAGTGGGAGGAGAAGGGATAGAAGGTCTTTACCAGGTTTCCCACACAAAAGTGTAGATTTTTGTTAAAGGTCAATTTGCAAAATTCCATTTTTACTTCTTTAGATCTTTGCATGCTGTCACTAATTTTATACTGTGCCATTATTTTATTGTATGTTCTTTGCTACATGGTATTGTGCTATATTTCCAAATCTTGCCGCCACCTGCTAAAGGGATGTCTAATCAGGTTGCATTCATTTGTACTTTGAATAGCCTTTTAAAGAGATCAGTTGTTCATTTCCAACTGAAGGCCAAACCCTCGTGTTGTGTTGTTTTATACGTATATATGAGCTATTTTGCTGATTTTATGCACCCTAGTTATTTATCTTCAGAATTTAAGGGGTTGACATTTGGCTATACAAATATGAGGATAAATATTGGTATGGAAATAAATTTATGCTTGCCTGGGCATCTTTGTTTATTTGCACATAAAATGTCTTCAGACATTTCCTTTCTTTTGTAAATACTTTAAAAGGGGGGGGGGGGCGGGGGAGATGTGTGCAGTGATAAGGCAAAAAAGCTGGGAAAAACATAAGACCCTTCTATTTGTTAAAAATATACTAAAATGGATAGCACAAAAATGTATCTCCTCAAGGTATCAAAATCCAAGGGCAAAAGTGCATACTCTTTTATTTTTGTGTTTCTAAAACTTTCATGAAATAATTATTATCTTTTTTCCAGGTTAAAACAATATTTGCAAATATTTTGGGGGGATGAATTTGTAAAAGCTGTAATTTTTAATTGCCTTTAATAGCACATTAGCAGTAGAAGGCACAAAGACAGAGCTGCTGGGAAGCCCCCCAAACCGAAATACAGTCCTTACAACAAACTACAAAAGACAGCACATCCGCTGGGGGTGAGTATCATTTCTGCCTCCCAAAAGATAGCATGATGTGTATTTTAATGTCCCACATTCTGCTGAATATATGTATACATTTTTTTTGGAAGGGGGGATGAGTTACTAATTAGACTAATTGTTTTTATATTCCAACTTCTGCTCCACCAATGGACTTATTGGTCTCATGATTTGTTTCAGGATTTTGCCAACTTTAGCTACAGCTCAGTATTCTATCTATTTGTGTTGGGCTCAGGTTTATCTTAGAGCACAGGGAAGGGATCAATGCCAGGTTGTTTTGAGTCCAGCGAATAGTCCTATGACATGTCATCCTGGTGTTAGTGAAAACTTTTAGGAAAGAAGGTTAGTGTAAAACAAATTATTAAATTGTCTTTTTAACATGTTCAAGAGAGAAAGCCTTGGTATTGATGGTCTCAATAATTTTCCATTTTTAAAACACAATCTCAAGGGTATACCTTAATTTTATTATTCATCCAAGGACACTGTAAAAGGTCTGGGGAAATGTACCTGAGAAATTCCCTCTCCCTATTACTCCAGGAATAGTTTTTTTTAGATTAGAAAACATAGTAGGGTAATGTCCTGACTGGGATTGTTTGGTAGGACTTTAAGGGCAATCTGTGAAATCCTCTGACATTGTAGGCTATAATAGGCTACCCCAGGATAGATTGACCTAAAGAATTTAGTAGGATTGCTCATTTTATACGAATGAAGTCACTTTATTTTTTTGTGCAGAAACATTTCTTGCTGCCTTAGGAGACTGAATTCTGTGCAGAGTTGATACTTCAGCACTGCCAGTCACAACCTTCAGTGCCATCTCCAGCCAGCACAGATGGCAGCTTTGACAGGCGACAGAATGATACTTACACAGAGCAGTCAAAATCGTGTTACAATTAGAATCGAAACCCTCCTTTTCAAAATTAATTTTATTTATTTTAATTAGGTATACATGACAGCAGAATGCACTTTGATTTATTGTACACAATTGCAGCACACCTTTACATTTCTCTGGTTGTACACGGCGTAGCGTCACACCATATGTGCAGTCATATATGTACCTAGGGTAATGTTGTCCATCTCATTCCACCATATTTCCTGTCCCCAAGCACCCTCCCTCCCCTCCCTCCCTTTCCTCCACCTTAACCAAGACTGTGTTACTGTTTCCATAAGTGGGAACATTCCATCCAGTGAGAACAGGTATCTTAGAACTGGTATCTTTCTCACATTTCGTTACATGTCACTGGATTAACTGACTTTGTAGAAGAAGATTGAGAGAATGTGGTGACCATTTTCACACACCCAGCAAAGAAGACAAGGGGCAGGGAGGGGGAGTCAAAATTTGGGGAAGATAGTTCACTTCTTTATTGAAGGTAAATGTTTGTTATTTTTATTTCCCTTGAATAGTCCCTCATCCAACAGGAACCACATTCCATATGCTACCTGGTTTACATGCACACTGGAAGAGTCTAGTAGCACTGGGAGCAACAATGATCCTCTTTAAAAATGTCTATTCCTTGAAACTTTATGTGTGTGAAAAGAATGACCTAAAATGTTCCTTTTTTTTTTCTCAAGATGAATACGTTCCCCTGAATATTTTCTGACCAGAATAAAATAAGGTTCCTGAATACTTTTCTGGGTGACTCTTAAACATCCTTGGCTGGCTGTTTTCAGCCATCTCTAGTCTCCTCCTAAGGGAAAGTATTCTACACTTTCCATTTCTTTTATTGTCAATTTACAAATGCAAGTTCATCTGTGTAGTTGTTCAGTACTGTGTTTTTGGTTTTTTTTTTTTTTAATTTTTTTCAATTAGTTACACATGACAGTACAATGATCTTGACATATCTTACATTTGAATCAGATGGGATGTGTTTTGAAAGCTGCCTACCATTTTTGGATTCTAAGAACAGACTCCCAAAGTTTTGTTCTTGTCCTATTCTCTCTTCCTTGCAGGTGAAATTAGTATTTTCAAAAGAACCTTCAAAGCCATTGGCTCCCAGAATTCTACCCAATCCCCTGGCAGCTGCAGCAGCTGCTGCAGCTGTGGCAGTGAATTCTCCCTTCAGTCTCCGAACTACTCCAGCAGCCACGCTGTTTCAGACCTCTGCACTCCCTCCAGCACTCCTGCGGCCAGCGCCAGGACCCATTCGGACCACCCACACTCCTGTGCTGTTTGCTCCCTACTGAATTCCAAACAGGAGTCATTGTACTGCAATAATTTTTCAAAAAACAAAAACAAAAAAAAAAAAAGAAAAAAAAAGTAAAACAAAAGAGAACTATGCAGTGTTTATTTATAGTTTAAAGTATATCTGAAGAGCCAGGACTTTTGATAGTGAAATGAAAAGATTATTAAAAAAAAAAAAAAAACAGGGTGGGAGGGGTTTGGGGGGAGGGAGGGTGTGGTATCTTCTCCAAATTAAAGCATTCCTCTTGAACATTGATTGTTTTAGAAGTGATCTCCAGCATTGACTTGTAGTGGTATCTAGAACTTCTGAAGCCTCTGTGACTGTGCTTTTGGGCACCCATTTCCCCTGCATTGTCTTCTCTGCTTTACGAAACAACTATACATTGTCTAAGGGCATTAACTGGTTCCAATGTATATATAATAATTTACTCTGTAGATTAAAATAATATGAAAAAAAAAGAAAAAAAAACCATAAAAAACAAAAGCAACACTGTGAATAGTAGTACCCCGTGCTGGTCCTCTTGCTATGACAGCAGTTACTGGGTATTTATCCCAACAAAAGTAGATACAGTAGATGTCTTGTAAAACAATAGTGCTGTGTCTCAATCTATGCCATTAGGTTCTAAAGAATCGCAAAAGGTAGAACGAACAACTATTTCATACCAGTAAGCAGTAAAACAATAAACACCAGATGGTGTCAAAGGGGCCTCTCTGGTTAGCATTTTCCCCCACACCTCTCCAGCGTGGAGTTAGAACAGGGCTATGCTTAGAGGTGGGAAAGGCATTCATAATGATAAATTTTTTACCAAACACTAATTCCCCACCCTGAAGAGGTATTGCTGGAAACAGGGAAGCATGTGTAATGAGTCTTTGTCTGAACACAGATAAACCCATGTATCATGGGTGTTTAGAAAGAAATCAGTACAACCATTCGGTTTCAAGGACAAGGAGCAATCTCAACCTCAGATAATAATGCTAAGTCTTTCATGTTAGTGCATAATCTGATAAAAAACAGAGAATATTGCATCTCTGCAATATCCCCTTTATATCATACCAGTAGGGTTGTCTCAAAGATTTCTCTCTTCTTTAAGTATTGATGGTAGAATTAAGCATTAGCTAATGTTATGGGTTTATTATTGTTTTTTAGATGTCCTACTGAGATGATATAAACTATTAATATATATTTAAATGTTAGTAACAACAATAAAAATGAGTCTGACTTAATTGCACAATGATGACGTGATGTTAAAAAATACTGGTAAGTTCCACTAGACCATCATTTCTCCAGTGGAGTTGTGAAATTCTGATAGCCTTTGAGATTCACCATAAAGCTGAAAGAAGTTGATGTTTTACCTTTAAAACAAGATTTATCAGGGGTATATATATAAATATATGTATATTGTATATATGTTAGAAAGATTAAGAGAATAACTTATAAAAAGAAAATCTATATAAAATAATTCTATAACCATTCAGTGTTACATGTTATCATTAAATTGGTAACAAATGGCATAAAATAGCTGTGCCTTTAATTTGTGATAAAGGCTATTTGCTTTTTCCCATAGAAAGCTGACATATACCTATCAGTATGGTGGGATTTGATGCAGCCAATCTGTTGCATTGAGAAGAACAATGGCACTCAATCTTAGAGCAAGGACAAAACATGTACAAATCAATCCTATGTGATTTAGAGAAAAAAAAAATTATTTTTGGAAAGGTTTTGTAAAGACTATTTAAAAATATAGGGAAGGGCTGGGTGTGGCCTTCTTAAAACTGCTCTTATCTAAACTAGTAACCTTTAGAGAGAGGTATAAAGAATCAACATGAAACCATTGGAAAGATAGGTATTTATCATTTGTCATTTTATATTTAAAAACATTCATCAGTGTGCTTGGTGCTCAACATTAAACATGGTCTTTGGAGTACATCTCCATTATCTAGCTATAGAAATTTGTCATCTAAGTGTGTCTTTAAAGCTGTTGTTATATATTATTTTGTTAAACAACCAAATGAAACAAAAAAAAAAAAAAAGGAAGGAAGGACAGGGAATAAGAAAATGTACTCCATCAGTCTTCTGGTAAAGAGAATTTCAAGCCATGCCTCTCTGGTTAAACATTGGATAGCGTTAAATTTGTTTTTGCAAGTATCTGGTGATTTTGCATTTACCAATATCTCTACTCTAGTTTTATAGCAAGTGTTTGGTTTTTTTTTTTTTTTTTTTTTTTTTTGTTTTTTGTTTGATTTTATTTTTCCAGGCGAATCATTAGTTACTCACGAGTTTTGTTAATTTGGGCTCTGTGTCTCCCCTATGTGACCTGCTTCTAACCGTCCTGGACTTTGGTCTCCTTTCTCTGCTCTGTCAAATATTTTGATCTTTCCTAACGTGATACTGAATCTCGATACAACTATCTTTATATCTGATAAGGCCTCTCTTTCTGTTGGAGAATTTGATGTTAATCAAAGCTGTCTTACTATATAATGTGCTTTTGCTGTTCTTCCCCATTTTCACCAAAGTGAATAAGCCAGTCCACTAGAAGTCAGGGCCTGTGGGATACACAGAGTCCTGGGTTATCGAGTGTCACTAACTTCAATGATTTGCTGGGAACAAACAAATCAGCCATATTTTTCTCCATCAGCCATATGAGAAAACTCAGAAATACCTGGATCCCTTCTGCCTCTCTTCGCCATGGAACCATTTTTGTTTAAATGGTCTCTTAAATTGGAGTTGTAAGCATCAGTTGTCTTTTATTCACTACCTAATAAAGGATGAAGCCTAAACATAGAACTTACGGCGGATTCTCTGTGAATTGTTTCCCCCCCACACACTCCACATATTTATCAACACCAGATCAACATCTATTATAGTTCCGACTGTAGAGCTGAATCTCTTTCCCTTAGGGAGCATTTTTCATGAATAAAGATTGACAATTCAGATTGGTCAGCGCTGGTGCTATGAAAATCCCCAAAGGTGGTCTGACTCTATGGTTATACATCTCTTACCATGCATCACCCCCATTGGCAAGGAAGGTGATTGAGTAAGCATCTTGGATTTCATTTGAAACAAATATAAATGCATTGCAAGAGCCAAATGCTGCTGGAAAAAGCATTGGTGCACCTCATCCAGAGGGAAATGGGAAACAGTTGTTGGGGGAGGTACTGTGTTTCTCTTCTGAGAAAACAGGTGATTACACATGACAAATTGCACCTCTCACTCGCTCTAAACTTTGAAGAGTAGTTGTTTAGTCACATAAGCAAACGCAGTTGGCTTTTGGCAAGTTATATTACCACTGCTTCCTCTGAAAGGATTGCTATCTTTAGGTACAATCGGGCGACACCCTTCACTCTTGCAATAGTTCACTGCCATTATCAGAGAGATAATTTTGTTGACAAGGAGCTACTTAAAAAGGAGTATTTATACACATTGGGGAATTTTAAAAAAACCAAAACAGGAAATAAGTTATTAAGGATTAAAAGGCAATGAAAAAAATCAAAGTACATTGTGGGTATGCTCCTACAAGTTTCTAAGGCACAGGACTAATAATAATAGACCTGGGCATTTATTTCACTTATGATTAAATTCATTGTGTCCACACCCATGTCACGTTTCAACATTTCTGACATCAGAAAGCCTAAAAGATGATTGAAGTAAGTAGTCTTCCTTAGAAACTGAATTGTAAGTAAGCTTCTTCCTTAGAAAGTGAATTGATGTGCAACTACCTTTCTGTCCATAAGTACAGATGGCATTGTAAAAGTAACTACGCAAGAAAGCAGCATGAAATGGCATGAAAGGGAAAGCAGTGAGACTGCAACCTTTATCTCTGACCAGCTGGGTAAGTTTCAATGGTCAGCAGATACCTTGCTCGAAATTTCTTCATCAGTAATAAAATGGGTGAAGGGGACTAAAGGCTAAGCTGGTTGAATGTTTTAGCACTTTTGAAAGCCCATTTCTCTTGTCACCTCAGCAATAAAACTTGCTCTCCTAGAGGTAACAAAATAGTTACTCAAATACTTCCATGTATCCAGAGAATGATTTTGTATTCTTTTCTATCCTGGGTGTACAAAGTGGATCAGTCATCTCAGTCAGATGTAGATCCACCAATGAATATTGGAAGAGCTGCTAATTCACTTACTATTCACTTGTTATTACTGGACTTATGCCAAAAGTCATGTAAGATGTTCTGCCTGTCTTTTCCCAGTCTGGATTAATTAATTCAGAGCAAAACCAATCCTGATAAGAGCAGTTGGAAGCCAGCAGTGTGGTGTGGAATGAAGCAATGGATTGTTATGCCTCATCCTATTACTTTTCTTACACTTTCTCTCATTAGTAGAAACAGGTCCCATCTGAACCATAACTAATTCTCCCCCTGAGTGTGCATGTATTTAAGCTAATGGCCACCTTATTAAGACCATTTATTCCACAGGGAGAAAAAAATCAGGTATAAAATCCGTCATTGTTGCAAGAATTATTTGAACTGAGTCCCGACAGGGACTATTTTACCTAATAATTGCTGTTTGTTTTTGTTAAATGGGGAGATATATTTCTGGAGTGTTTCTCCTGGTGTTGGTGTGGTTTGCTTTCATAACTAGACAAGTTTCTGTCAGAAGGTGAGATGGATTATTTAGTGGCAGGTTTCCATTGCCTGTTTGCTAGTTCTGAGAGTGGTTTCAGGCTTACCGAGAAAGATGAGTATGTGGGTAAATCATTCTCAGATGGCCTACAAGGTTGTTACTTCCCAGAATGGATTTATGGCTCAGCAGAATGATGAATAGCAATGGGAGGAATATTCTACACTGGAAAAATCTCCATGTACTCCTGGATTAGAAGGTCATGAATGGGGACAGAGTTTAAAGAATTCTTTGAAGGGGTCATCAGTGCACAGATGTGAAAGAATTGAGAAATACTTCCCATTTGCAGGCCTTTTATTCCCCTTCTCAGTGATTGAAATTCATTCTTCTTAATTGGTTGAATTGACCCTAGAAACTGACAAACATATTTGAAGTCAAATTTGATCATTAATAAATGTGATTGAGTTGAGTATGTTAGAGTGTGA